GTCCTACTCGAGCCACATCATTCAGTTTTCAGCCCGAAGAGAAGCCCTTTTACACGTGCGGCTTCTGCAGCCGCGAGGATAGTTGCCTCAACGAACATCTTACACACGTTCGTGATCACGCCGCTGGGCCTGGCGATGCCGTGGCGAGCCACGGCGGGAAAGCCCAGTCGGCCCAGAAGCGACACGGGAGAGGCCGCGTCAGCGGCAACAGCTCCGAAGCACAAGCAGCAGCGTGGCGGCCAGAGGAATCCCACTGGCAACGCCAACGGGTCAGGCGACGCCACGATGTCAGAGGAGATCGTCCTCATCCAGAAGCTGAGCCTCAACAACGCGCAGATGATCCGCCAGTTATCGGGCAGCCTGTGGGACTTCTTCGTGGTCCCAGGAGGGAACGCGGCCGTGGACGCGGCAGCAGAGGCAGGGGTCACGTACGCGGAGCGCAGCAAGGAGAAGGGAACGAAACAGCTCGGACCGCCACGCCTCCAGTGGAGTCGATTTCTTCATGGAGCTGAGCCGAGGCGACACGCTGAAAGGCGAGACGAAGACAGTTCTGGAGGAGTGCCGCATGATAGCGGAGATCATGTCGATGAACGACTTCGGCGGCATAGTGAGCCATTTCAAGGTGAGGAAGGCCTGGAGCGAGCAGGGTCAGGACGAGAAGTGGAAAGCGTACATCATGTTCGCCCCATTGGCGACTTCTCCGTGGAGCGCACACCGGCAGGAGCAGCTCCACGCGATCCGAATGGGCGACCAGGAAGCGGACATCCAGCTCGGAAAGCACTGCATCTCGGACCTCCGCAGGGCCACGGTGACGGCGCTCAAAGCTCAGGGCGCAGGCATGATCCACGGCGCCCCACCCCCGTCAGGACTCGAACGCCAGATCCAGGCGGCGCTCAGGGCCAGACAGCAGCAGGAGGGAACATGGACGGCCTCAGACTGCTGGCGGGCAGAGGCAGCCCCAGAGCCAGCGAACTCCTGAGAACGATCAGCGACAATCGAGACCGGTGACAAGAATGTGTAGGTTAGACGTATCTCATGTGTGTTTTTACGCTTGGGTAGCACGAAAGCGAGGTCTGTAGCGTTGCTTGTTTTTTTGTCGGGAACGTTTTCCAGGTCCGTGTTCCTGGCTTCGGCCTTTTCTCCTCCCCCTGGGACGTGCCCGCCTGGAGCTTTGCGTTTGCCGTGTTCCCCTTGGCCCAACTGGGCCTTGGGACGTATGTAAGTAAACATGCGATAGAGACCTGCTTGATAGTGGATCGGGAGGACGGGGATGGGGGAGGTTGGCTGAGGGAGGGAAGCGGTAGCAGACTGCTCTTGCACCGAAGGCCGAGTGCAGGCAAGCAACCCGAGTCGGGGGCGGTAGGCCCAAAGGTCCTAAGCCCCCGCCAAAGATCCACAACGATTTTGGTGGCTGTTTCGTCGGGAAGGCCTTGCGCTGCAGCGGGCCAAAAAGCCTAAAAGCCACAGGTTCCGTAGGCGACCCCTTCGTAACGCCTCTGAAGCGCGCCCGCAGCCCAGAACCCTCAAAGAACGACTGCGGACAGCTGCCCGGGCCGGAACTCCGACTCCGACTCCTCCTCCTTCCTCCTTCGTCCTTCGTCCTTCCTCCTCCTCCTCCTCCTCCTCCTCCTCCTCCTCCTCCTCGGGTCGCCTACGGCCCCGGGGCAAGCCCCGCACAGCGCCGCCCGCCTGCCCCGCCGCCCGCCCGCCGCCCCCGCGCCCCGGCGCCGCTCCCTCTATTCGCTCGTGCAGCTGCGCGCCCCGCGAGGGGCGCCTCACGCGCCGGCGAGTCGCCGCGCCGCACCGACCGCAGACTGTGTGTGTGTTGCGTGTTGTGTGTTTTGTGGTGTGTGAGTGTGTGTGTTGTGTGTTGTGTGTTGTGTGTGTGTGTTTTGTGAGTGCGTGTGTGTGTGTATGTGTGTGTGTGCGTGTGTGTGTGTGTGGTGTGTGGGGGGGGTGTATGTGCGTGTGTGTGTGTGTGCGTGTGTGTGTGCGTGTGTGTGTGTGTGTGTGTGTGTGTGTGTGTGTGTGTGTGTGTGTGTGTGTGTGAGTGTGGGTGGGTGGGTGGGTGTGTGTGTGGGGGGGGGACGGATGGTCATCGAGGAAGCTCACTAGGAGGATGAACAAGCATGCAGCTCGGCATCGTTCAATGTATGAGACACGTCGTACCTAGGCCGAGCCAAATATTATAATTACAACGCGTTGTCATCGCAGACATACACAACGCACTGGTGTTTACACTCGTTCCCAGTGTAAAGAACGCGCGTGCCATTGTCGTCAACATACACAAGCGTCCACCTAGATAGAATTCTGAAAACCCCTGAACTTCGATTTCGTATCGAAAACCTACGGGAAATCCAAGGCAAGCTGCGAAACAATTAAGGAACACGGAGCCCCTCCCCAACGAAAAGGGTTCCTTCTTCAGGGCCCGACTGTATTACCATCCATGCCGCACTCTGGCGGGGCTTTGGAGGGGCGGGAGGGGCACGAAACAGGGACGAGGAGGAGGAGGTCCAGTGCAAGCCCAAGAGTCATCAACGATGTGGGAAGAGACCCTCCCTCCAAGCTCCCTCTTCATAGGCCCCTACAACGGTTCGTTTCCACTGAGGGAAGTGCCTCGTTGGAAGACAACCGTTTGAAGACTCTGGGGCATGCCAAAACATTGTTCTCGGGGTTCCAACGCCACGGGTCAACTTGTCTGTTGCGTCTTGACGATCCTGAATCGTGCCAAAACGCCATTCCTGGGACTTCAACACCGCGAAACCAACGTAACCGCTGCGCCCTCGTACTCCGGAATCTCTCCAAAACGCCATGTCTGGTACGTTGGTCATGGGAATCCCTGACCCTCTTGCAACAATTGTAAGCGAATGTGCGCGGCGCTCCGGCCAGAGCCGCATTTTGAAAAGGCACAGCCCTCAATCCGTGAAACTCTTGCAACGTTCGTGAACGAATGCGCGCGGCGCCACGGCGAGGGCCACGTTTCGAAAAGGCACCGCCCTCAACCCGTGAAACCCTTGCAACGTTCGTGAACGAATGCGCGCGGCGCCACGGCGAGGACCACGTTTCGAAAGGGCACCGCCCTCAACCCGTGAAACGCCTGCAGCGTTTAGACACGAAGGTGCACGGCGCTGAAGCGAAGGCCACACACGTTGAAGAGGAGGAGGAGGAGGAGGAGGAGGAGGAGGAGGAGGAGGAGGAGGGAGGAAGAGGGAGGAGGAGGAGGATGAGAGGAGGAGGAGGAGGAGGGGGGAGGGAGGAGGGAGGAGGAGGGAGGAGGGAGGGGAGGAGGAGGAGGAGAAGGAGGAGGAGAGAGGAGGAGGGAGGAGGAGGGAGGAGAAGGAGGAGGAGGAGGAGCCGCCCTCGCTCCGTGCAGCTCCTGCAGCTGTCCGAAAAGCGAACGTGCGCGGCGCTGGAGCGGGAGCCACACTTTGCAAGCCACCCGCCCCCCGTCCGTGCAGCTGTTGCTGATCCAGGTGTCGGGAACAATGAGGCAGTATTCATGCAGAACATATGGTTTGAACCTCCCCCCAAATGCTCCCCCAAATGCAATGTTGGCTTCGGATCTTCCGATGTTGGGCCTCCGAGCGGTCTTGCGAAAACCTGTCAACCTTGAATTGCGGGGGAGGGGGGGGAGTGTTGCTTAATTGTTTCCCTCAACCGTCCTTCAGCCTCGGAGCCATCAGTGGTGAGGAAGTCTCTGGCGAAGCGCCCGGGCCAGCCTAACAACTGGCTTCGGGGTGGACGGGGAGAAGTTGTCGATATGGAAACAGAATTGAGGAGGTGCCGCGGTGTGGAGGAGGAGGGAGGAGGACGAGGAAGAGGTCGAGGAGGAGGAGGGGGACAAGAGTAAGAGGAGGGAGGACGGATAGGGTGTTCGTATCAAACAAAACCTAAATTAGGATGTGGGGGACAAGAACTATAACCACGCGCCTGCTATGCGCGCGCTTCGGTTCTAGTCGACTCCGAAGATACTGTTTGTAGGATTGACAGGGATTGCCGGGCGCTGCAAAGAGCGGCGAAAAGGGTGGCAAAGATTGGCAAAGCGCCGCCTCCTCCTCCTCCTCCTCCTCCTCCTCCTCCTCCTCCGTTCCTATTCCTTAGAAATAACTGCACCCCGAAACTAAATTTTAGCTCGGGCCGGGCGTTCCGCATGAGACTTCCTTACCACTTAGGGCTCTGAAGCTGAAAAATTAACAACAATTACACGGATGGAGGGCAAGTGGTTTTCAAAATGTGGCTGTCGCCGTAGCGCCGCGCACATTCGTGTCAAAACTTGCAAGAGCTTCACGGATTGAAAGCGGTGACTTTTCAATATACGTGGCCCCCGCCTCAGCGCCGCGCACATCCGTTTTAGCAATTACAGGAATTTTGCGGATTGAGGGCGGTTCATTTTCAAAGTGTGGCTCTCGCCTTAGCGCCGCGCACATTCGTTTGAGAAATTCGCCAGAGTTTCACAGATTGGAAGCGATTCCTTTTCAAGATGTGGCTCTCGCCGCAGCGCCGCGCATATTCGTTTTATACTTCTGCAAAAATGTCAAATATTCCCATGAACAACGTACCAGAAATGGTGTTTTGGAGAGATTCCGGAGTATGAGGGTGCAACGGTTACGTTGATTCGCGGTGTTGAAGTCGCAGGAATGGCGTTCTGGGAAGATTCAGGATCGTCAAGACGCAACAGTTAAGTTGATCCGTGGCGTTGAAATCCCGAGAACAATTTTTGGCATGCTCCAGAATCTTCAAACGGTTGTCTTCCAACGAGGCAGTTCCTTCAGTGGAAATGAACCGTTGTAGGGGCCTATGAAGAGGGAGCTTTGAGGGAGGGTTTCTTCCAACATCATTGATGGCTCTTGGGTTTGCACTGGTCCTCCTCCTCCTCCTCGTCCTCGTCCTCCGCCTCCTCGTCCTCCTTCTTCTGGCACTCGCGCGGGACTGAGTAACCTCCGACTGGAGAACGCCGGGAACCTCCTGCCTTCGTCCTCAGTCCCGCCCTCCTCGTCAGCCTCCTCTCGATTCAAGCGATGTGCCCTGAGAGGCTTGATCTATGTTTTCTGGAGAAGCATCAGAATGTAGCGGAGCCCGTGCAAAAGTAGCGGGGGACGTATGGCAAAAGGGGGCTCCACCTCCGGCGAAACTTGCTGCTGCTAGTATAGCGCCACGGAGTTGCTGTGGCCGGTCGTCGGCTTTGCGAGAGACATGCGCTTTGCGCAGTGCTCCTGCTCCTGAGGAGCGGCTACGTCCGTGTGGTCGTCCTCGCCGAGGAGACCTCCGACGGAAAACCCTGCTCGCGCCAGATGCTTCACGTAGAAGTTCAGGTACTCCACGCCGCGATCCGTGCGTCCACGAACGACCTTCACCTCGACCTTGCCAAAGGCAGTCCACTCAGGGGTCTCCACAAGGTCTGCCGATGCGCTGTGATGGTCCGCCACCGTGCCGCGAGGCGCGAGCTGGAGTGCATCAGGTCCCCTGAGACCTCCGCCTCAATCCCGAGGACGAGCCTTCGGGGCCCGGACCCCCCAGGCACGCGGCGTCACAGGCGTTTCGTGGAACTGCGCGTCTAGAGCATGGCTTTGAGAAACTCCGCTGCAGTCCGTTCCCCAGGCGGAAGGGGAGCTTCTCCAAATCTCCGTTCGTCGCCGCGGCCGAATGGGCGCTGGAGTGCCCCAGGTCCCCGGGGACCTCCGCTTCAACCCCCTGAGACCTCCGCATCAGTTCTTGGCGCGGAGCGCCAAACATTGATGCTTAGGGCGTTCATCCTTCTTCGAGGAGGGAGGGGCCTCAGCGAGGACCACGACGAGGACCACGACGAGGAGAGACGAGGACCACGACGAGGGCCACGACGAGGACGAGGACCACGACCAGGGCGACGGAGAAGAGCGAGGAGGGCCACGACGCGGGCCACGAGTTCGGCGGCCGGCAGGCCCGGGCACCCCGCAGATGCTCAGAGGCCCCGGGGGGGGCGTGCCGCGTGCCTCCCCAGGGGGGGCCCGCCGCAGCTCGTGGCCAGCCCCTGCTTCCCGCGGGGGCAAGAGAGCTCGCCATCGCTTCGTGTTTTTGTTCGGTGTCGTGGTTTTGTTTCCGTGTTTTTTTTCTCGGTTTCGCTGAGAGGACGTCCATTCCATGTTTTTTTCGGTTTCGTGCGTGGTTTTTTCGCCAGGTGGTCAAGGATGCTCCTCGATGGCCCTCGCCGAGAAAAAAAAGCATCCGTCCGAGCGACGCCAAGAGAGAGGGAGCTCCCCCAAAAAGCAAGCGAGGAGGGCCCCCAAGAGGCGAGGACTCCCAAACAACAGGCAGGAAGGCTCCAGCAAAAAAGCAGGCGAAGGGGGCCCCCCCCAAAGGCGAAGGCTCCCAAAACCAGGCGAGGAAGGCTCCGACAAAAAAGCAAGCGAGGAGGGCCCCCAAGAGGCGAAGACACCAGAAGACGGGCAGGAAGGCTTCCAAAAAAAAACCGGGCGAGGGCCCCAAGAGGACCCCATTGACGGCCCAAGAGAGCGCTCCGAGTCGCCGAGAGGGCGCTCCGTGATGCCCAAGGTGGCCTCCAGACGGCCGAAGAGGCCGCCAAGACGCCCCAAGAGGGCTCCAAGAGGGCTCCAAGAGAGCCGCATAACAGGTCCCCCCCCAAAAAAAATCGGACGTTGTCCTCAGGTTTTGATATGTTTGAGCGTTCTCGCTTTTTCGGGCTCTGGACGCTACAAGACGGCCCAAGAGGCCCCCGGCCCCCAACATAGTCCCAAGGTGGCCCAAGAGGCGCCCAAGACGACCCAAGAGAGACCCAAGAGGGGGAACTCGAACTGAGATTTCGCACCCTCTGCCCCAAGGGGACCCCCGAGACCGCCAGCAGACCCCCAAAAAGCCCCCAAGAGGTCTCAGGAGGCCCCAAGAGGCCTCAAAGCTGCCTCCAAGAGGCTCCCCAGAAGCTTTCCGAGTGGTAGCAATTGAATCATATACTCGAGTCTAAAAGGGACGCCTCAAGCCTACAACCCAGGCACTGTGGCGGGTTGGGCCGAAGGCCAATAGACCTGGCCCGGCACAGAAACGGAAAGAGCGCTTCAGACACAGAAACCGAAATTACTCACACCACCGTTCGTACTGGGAGCCTTGGCGTTGAGAGCTTGTTACGTCACCCCTCGCTCTTGGGAGCCTTGGTGTTCTGAGATTGTTGCGTTGCCGCCCGTTCCTGAGCCTTGGCTGGGCCTTGGTGTCAGGAACTTGTTACGTCACCGCTCTCTGCTGGGAGCCTTGGTCTTATCAGCTTGTTTACGTCACCGTTCGCTCATGGGAGCCTTGGTGTGAAGAGCTTTTTGCGTTACCGATCGCTCTCTATTTGGCGTCTCTGGGCCTTCTTGGGAGTCCTATTGGGGCCCTTGTCGGGCCCTTTTGGGGGCCTCTGAGGACCCTCTTGGGGGCCTCTTGGGGCTTCTTGGGGGACTCTGGGGGCCTCCTGGGAGCTTCTTGGGGCGAAAGGCTAGACTTTTCGGTTCGTGGTCCCCCTCTTGGGGCCGTCTTGGAGCCCTCTTGGGCCGTCTTGGGCGCCTCTTGGGCCGTCTTGGGGCCCTCTTGGGCCGTTTTGGGGGCCTCTTGGGCCGTCTTGGGGCGGTCTTGGGGGCCTCTTGGAGCGTTTTCAACGCAGTGAAAGCCGAAAAGCCTTGTATGCTAAAAATGTACGTGTTCCCATAGGAAATCAATGATTTTCGCCTCCCGGTTGCCTCTTGGGACGCCTCTTGGGGGCCTCTTGGGGCTTCTTGGGGGGCTCTGGGGACCTCCTGGGAGCGTCTTGGGGCGAAAGGCTAGACTTTTCGGTTCGTGGCCCCCCTCTTGGGGCCGGCTTGGCGCCCTCTTGGGCCGTCTTGAGCGCCTCTTGGGCCGTCTTGGGGCCCTCTTGGGCCGTTTTGGGGGCCTCTTAGGCCGTCTTGGGGCGGTCTTTGGGGCCTCTTGGGCCGTCGTCAATGCCGTGAAAGCCGACAAAGCGCATATGCTAAAAATATACGTTTTCCTTTTTGGAAAAACGATGATTTCGGCCTCTTGGGGCCCTCTTGGGACGCCCCTTGGGCGCCTCTTGGGGGCCTCTTGGGCCGTCTTGGGCGGTCTTGGGCTCTCTTGGAGCGCCCTTGGGCCGTCTTGGGGGGGGAACCCGAAACACATGCAAAAACCCAAAGGAAAAGCCGAAAACGGTCATTACCACCCAAATGCGCATGCTACCCCCCTCCCCTGGAACCCCTCCCTTTAGGGCTTCGCCCACACCAGAACGTTTTCACTCGTACCTCGCTGTTTCCGTTACCTGGCCCGGCACAGAAACGGAAAGAGCGCTTCAGACACAGAAGCCGAAATGACTCACACCACCGTTCGTACTGGGAGACTTGGCGTTGAGAGCTTGTTACGTCATCCCTCGCTCTTGGGAGCCTTGGTGTTCAGAGATTGTTGCGTTGCCGCCCGTTCCTGAGCCTTGGCTGGGCCGTGGTGTCAGGAACTTGTTACGTCACCGCTCTCTGCTGGGAGCCTTTGTCTTATCAAGCCTTTTAGTTACCGTCACCGTTCGCTCTTGGGAGCCGTGGCGTGAAGGGCTTTTTGCGTTACCGATCGCTCATTGTTTGGCGTCTCTGGGCCTTATTGGGAGTCCTATTGGGGCCCTTTTCGGGCCCTTTTGGAGGCCTCTTGGGAACCTCTTGGGGGCCTCTTGGGGTTTCTTGGGGGTCCGTGGGGGCCTCCTGGGAGCGTCTTGGGGCGATAGGCTAGACTTTTCGGTTCGTGGACCCCCTCTTTGGGCCGTCTTGGGGCCCTCTTGGGCCGTCTTGGGCGCTCTTGGGCCCTCAGGGCCGTTTTTGGGGGCTCTGGGAGCCTCTTGGGCCGTCCCTTGGGGGGGTACTTGGAGGCCGTCCGTCAACGCCGTTAAAGCCGAACAAAAGACATATCAAAAATATATACGTTTTTCCTTTGACCTAGCAGCGTAGACTGATAGGTTTCTAGTTGACTCAAAAGATCTCACAGATCACTCCACAGGGGGGTCCGGGCAGGCGTTGGGAGTTGCCGGCCGGGCCTGTGCCGGGCTCGTTTTTCACCAACAGTCACACACTTCGTGCACGTCGACCTCTCA